AGACCTGGATACGTCCTTGCAAGGTTACGTCAGGAGTCCAGGGAGGACCAAGTTGCACGCCTCAGCACCCCGCACACTGGGTGCTCCCGTCTATGACGTCAGGCAGTGAGACGACCAGTGAGAGGCTAGAAAATCTCGTGTTACGCAGGACGTCATTGGAACCGGATCTGAAAAGCACACACACGGCACGCCATGGAGATTGTTTCTTACTATACACGTATAATGCCAGAACACACTCCACAGACGTCGATCTTCACGCCCTCCTTGTAGCCCCAGATCGCATTAAATTTCATGTGATCGCATTACAAGAAACAAAAATCAAGAAGACCGACATACGGCAACTAAACAACGGGACTCTTGTGTTTCATGGAGAAAAGGTCCTGTCGCGAAATGTCGGTGGCGTAGGCTTTGTCGTCCATCCGCCCATTGCCCAACTCGTCGACTCATACGAGATCCTTTCCCCTCGCATAGCGGTCCCTCGTCTTCAACTGCCGCATCATAAGAAGATCACTGTCATCAACTGCTATTCACCGACCGACGCAGATGATGAGTACGAATTAAATGCGTTCTACTGTCAGTTGGAGGAAGTCATCCGCAACAATAAAGCATATCATAAATTTGCTGTCGGAGACTTTAACGCAGAATAAGAAAAGCCAACGAGAGCGAATACAGGATCGGAAATTTTGGATTAAGAGAAAGAAATAAGAATTGGACGCCTCCCAGGACTCCAGTCAGCAACACGTCTCTTCCATGGGAACTCGTTTTTCCAAAAGAAAGAAAGCGGCTGCTCGACATGGGAGTCTCCCAACGGCATGACTCATGCGGAGATCGACCATATTCTGACAAACAGAAAATGGTGCCTACTTGACACAACAGTAGTCCCGTTACTCTGTACTGATTCCGATCACCGCCTCCTTCGCGCGAGGATTCGATTCAGCCGCAAGCTGGAAAAGAACTCTCTTCATTGACCAGGAGGAATAAGTCCAGCTGTATATAACGAGAAAACTCTGAACGAAGTCCTGTCCTAACGTCACTGGAAGATTAAAGAAGACCTAACCGAAGACTACGAGCTGCTTGTCGAAGGACTGAAAGGCTGTGCCGAATTCGCCTCAGATCCTCAAGCAAGAAGGTCGGATCCCATCTCCATCACTACTAAGGAGTTGTTCGAAAAGAGAAGGAAACTGAAGCATGATCCTACTATTTAACATGCCCAGCAATAAATGCCAGCTGTAGAAGAGCTTTGCAGAAAGGTCTACAACGGTACGAGCAGAAGAAAATACTGGAAACAGCAGAGAAAAGAAGCAGTCTGAAAAAAATGCCGTCGGGACTTGTGTGAATTTAATGTTCCGCTGTCAGCCCTGATGAACGACGATGAGATCATCAAAACTTCTCGCCATGATATGGAATTAATAGCGGAAACGTTCTACACCAACCTTTTCCGTTCCACAATCCCCGTCCCGGACCCTAAAATCCCCGCTGGAGGAAAACCACCTGGAATCCATCCATCGGAGGTTCAAGTTACGATAGAAAGCATGAAAAGAGGCGCAGCTCCAGGATCCGATAATATCACCGCCGATTTCCTAAGATCTGGAGGCCAAAATTTACATGTACTTCTCGCAAATCATATGACAGGCTACCTTCAAAAGGAGAAAATCCCAGACCAGTGGAGGACGTCGAGCGCGGTTATCCTAACCAAGAAAGGAGGCCGAAAGGATCTTCGTAACTATCATGCCATATGCTTATTAAGTGTACTCTACAAGCTTTTCACGAAGATTATCCTCTCGCGCATATCAAGGACATTGGATGAAGTCCAACCAGTCGAGCAAGCAAGAAAGGATTTTGCTGCGTGGACCACATCCAAACCGTGTCCAGGGTCATCGAAGTTTGTCGGGGATACTACTTGCCTTTAGTTCTAAGCGTTGTCGACTATGAGAAAGTGTTTGACAATGTCGAAACGAATACAATCCTATCAGCGCTCGTCGACCAAGGAGTGGAGACGTCCTACATAAGAACTCTGTCCGACTGTTATCGGAGCTACAGTACGAAGATACAGCTTTTCCATCGACCTCTTACAATACCCATAGTAAAAGGGGTCGACAGGACGACACAATATCGTCAAAGTTGTTCAATGCCGCAATGTAGTAGACAATGAAATCACTCGATTGGGATGAGAAAGGCACCCGTATTGATGGAAAATTCGTATCAAACCTTCGTTTTGCATCTTCTCAAGATAGCGAAGCAGAGGTGATGAGCTCAACGAGCTCAACGAAGCGGAGAAAAAGCGGACTTCGCATAAATCGAAAGAAGACCCAATTCGTGAAAAACCCACGGTGCGAAGGCGAAAAAATTGAATTGGTTGGTCCTCTCATTGCAGAGACCACCTCGTACGTCTACCTTGGACGATCAGTGAACATGGAAAACGACATGAAGGAGGAACTGAATATAAGAAGGAGAACAGCTTAGGCCGCATTCGGGCCTCTCAAAGAAGCCACCGACCAACCGAAGGACGCGAAAATCCGCGCTCATCTCGTTGATTCTACAGTCCTCCTAGCGCTCTGTTATGCTGCAGAGACGTAGGTTGATACTTCAACAACGTCAAGAATGCTTCGCACTACTCATGGAGCGCTTGAGCGATGTCTTCTTAAATATAAGTGGCACTCCCAATAATTATCCGGAATGCGAAGCTCTGACCTTCGAAATCTGTCACATCTTCGAGATCCAGGAGAATATACATCGACAGCGAAACATAGATGGGCCAGTCACATAATGAGAAGAGCCGATGACAGATCGAAGATAAGAACAGTAGAGTGGACTCCAAGAGAATGCAAACGTTCTTTTGGATGGCCACCTACACGTTAGGCGGACAAGTTCGTAAGCAAAGTTAATCAACTGTACTTGCAGCTGCAGTTGTTTTACAGATCACGGTATGAGACTCGCAACCGTTGCCATACTCGAACAAGACCACCACCATGGATTACGATTGCAAGAAAAAGGAACGAATGGCATATGTGCTGGGGTCTGCACAGCTCGTGAAGACGGACCGTCCAAGTAACCAAGTATCCAAGATTAAATCCAATATTATTCTTATACCTAAGAATTTTCAAAGGTGATTTTCAAAAGTTCTACGATCAGCTGTGGATTTTTCGTCGAATCATTCATCGAGCGAAAATCATTATTTGAGACATATAAATGAACATATTGTATCATAGTAATTTTGTATTCAAAGTTCCAGTTCATTGCAAGTAGAAATCCAAGCGCCCGTAACGAACTGAAACGCTCAGATTTAAAAAAAAAAAACTTTAAAATGTTGCTAGCAACTATCTTAATACACAATACCAACATCAACCGCCGTATTCCTTCCGAGTCTGAAGGAGTGGTAGAAACTGGACTGTTCACGTTCAATTTTATAAAATCTTAATTACACCCACGAACACGCACGGATACGCACGCACGCATGCACACACCGAAAATTCACGGAAGCTTATCAGCTTGGAGATTCGCTTTTAACTATTCCACTCATTCTATTAACGAGTACAACGATTTCACATATTAGCAGCGAAACCTTGTGGAAGTTTAAAAGATTAAAATGCAGTGCTGCTGTTTTGTAGTGAGAGACGAAATTTTGTAGTTTCTTGTGCACCAACTTTAAGTGCTTTATCGATTATAATGATGTAGAAGGTTTAGTGTTGTCGAAATTGCCAAAACTAAACTAAACTTTAATCTTTCGAAACCGACCTTCCCTAAACCTCGGTGTGATTAATCAATATGTATTCTTTCTTGATAAGCTTACACGAGGTTGATAAATATATTTATTTTCGGCTAACGTTTCGACGTCTTCGTCTTCCTCAGAGCCGGTGATCCGAGTCGATGGTCCATGCTCGTTCGAGAAGATGGCTCACTGAGGAAGATCTGGCTCGACACGAAGGCGAAGACGCAACGTCGAGGCGAACAACGAGCATGGACCATCGACTCGGATCACCGGCTCTGAGGAAGACGAAGACGTCGAAACGTTAGCCGAAAATAAATATATTTATCAACCTCGTGTAAGCTTATCAAGAAAGAATACATATAAACTTTAATCTTCGACAAAAAGTCGAGAAGCGATGAAAACCTCCCAACGGTTTACCACCATATGTTTGTTAGGAGGTGCTCTTGGGTACAGGGCTGTGATGTGAAGCAGAAGGATTCATTCCTTAGCAGGGTCTCCCAAGCTGAGAGGGCGTCCGGCGTTTCCATCAGGAAGCCCAGCTAAGAGAAACCACTACCAGGATCAGCCACCGTCTTAGTATCAAAACAGTCGCATGGTATCAAATCTCCTTCTAATCCACAAAGGTAGGGACTGCACGTGGTGGTGAGGACCTGGGACAGACTTTGGCTAGGCCGACCACGGGTCTCCGGGGAACAACAGTAGCTAAACCAGCAGAACTCCGAAAAAGTGGAAACTATGCTGAGAGCCGTACAACCAGTAAAGACAAAACATCCAAGCATCCAAGTAAGATATTGTCAAAAAATCTAGCCCTTCATTTCCTGGCATTTTTCCAAGGTTACTTTTCAATTATTCTATCTTTTTCGATCGATCGAGGAAATTAATACAGACTAGTAACTTCAGAAATTTCTAAAACTAAGTCATAAAACTTAATGAATTTCACATTGGTGTGTCGCCATGTTGATAGCAGCATCTAACGAATTCTTCTTAATAACAATTTTAAAGAAACTTGTTTTACAACACTGCAATATTTATATTAGCATGTGACGTTCTTTGCAAATAATTTATACACACAGCTTATACAACTTTCAAACAATTTGGAATACTGCAAAGGATGCATGAACAACGAAAAATGTGCTCGTATGTTATGGCTGTAAAAGTAAGGTAATATGTACGGATGAAAGAAACCGAAGTACTCTGGCACGGGAAATGATTAGACACATGAAAAAAAAAATAATTTCGAGACAAAATAAAATTTGTGCACAGATGAGAGATATTGAATGCTGAATTAAAACTATAAATGTTCCTCGCTCTCTAATCGCATCAGTTCATCGTAGTACTGGTCGACGTCCTGCCATTGTGGTGGTGTGTTTGGATCGATGTCAATGCTACCACAATGAAATTCTTCGAATTGACTCACAAACGGTTCAATCGGAAAACCTGAAAATGAGCGGATAGATTAAATTACTACCATACATTTAAAAGAATTCACCGACAAACGATAAATCTTCATGAGAATAGCGTCTATTTCAAGTACACTGCTTTCAAGTTAAGAAAGGTGTTTCCAAAGGGTGAGAAAGTGCCCCTTAAGAAGTGTACCAAGTGCGGATGTCTCTCACCGAAATTCAATTATTTGAAGGGAAAGCTCCCTAAATTGTTTACCGCCTTAAGGTGGCCATGAAGTTTTCCGAATAATATCAAAACGTTGTTCTCAGCAACAGGCTATTAAGTCAACAAAGCCACTCAGAACTACGAATTTGAACTTTTCAATTTTCAACCAGACCTTTGGCTAAAAGACAAAGTCATTCCAGGAATCCTGGGCCTTCCTATGGTATCTTCGCCGCAGGGCGCTATATTTCTCTCAAATTCACAACCGTCGACGAATGTGTATATTGGTGAACCTGTACACTTAATGGTACGGATACCTCAGTCCTCCGAAAGAACAGACATATCACAAGCAGCAACGAGAAAATAGAAATTAATCGGAGAGTCGGCATAATTCTTAACGACTCGTTATCGAATATTTAAAAAAGCAAGTGCTATGAAAATAAATACAAAGTAGCGAAGGGGCTTTAAAACTACTCATTCGACACAGATAATTTCCACAACGATGATATACATCGGTTATAACCGTTTCTGAACAAGGAAAGCACAACACCCTCTTAAGATATAAAAGGATAAAGCTTTCGGCGTTGATCAATCTCTGATGGATGCGCCATGCATTCGACTTCATTAAGTATCGTTGGAGGTGATTCAATGCATATTTGGCCTTTATGCAAGACTAGCCGTGGCCAACCGATGTATTGAGCCAGTGCTGCTATCCTCTCAGACAGGTTTGGTACCAATTTGCCGACCCCGAAGAGATGGAGGGCTTGGTGGGCCATGGGCCAGGAGATAGATTGCACGTGTGTATCGCAGTGGCGCCTCCAAGGACTGCGCCACACGCGCCCCCTCTTAAGATATAGATGCAAACAATTTATAGCTTAATCTTCAATCACTATTATACAATGTACCTACTTTAATTGAAAAATTAATATGAGGTTGTTAATATTTGTTCGCCCGCCGTCTCGACATCTCCGCCGTTTAGAAGTCATTTTACGAAGACGTCGAAACGTTAGCCGAATAAATGTTTGGTAACAATGTTAGCCTATCTGTGAGATAGACATATTGATCAGTTCCGAGGTTATTATTCCGAGGTTTAATGACGGTTAGTTGGAAAAAGTGCGTGTGGCGCAGCGGTCGTAGGCACCATGCGATACACACTTGGGATCGATCCCTGCACTCGATACAACGGTAGGCCACCGCGAGTTATGCATAAAGGCCAGATATGCATTTAATCACTTCCAACGATGCTTAATGAAGTCGAATGCATGGCGCATCCATCAGGGATAGATCGACACCAAAAGCTTTATCCTCTTTTTTTCAGAAGGGAGATAAATATAGCTTTTTAATTTTCCATTTCCAATTCTGTAATAGTGAACGCTCCGGCTTAAACGTTAAGGAAAAATGGAGATCTTCGGTAAATCTTTAACTTATGGATTCATCGACAAACCTTCAAGATCATAAGATGAGAGTTCACCCTGCCAATTGTATTCGGAAGTGATGCCTTGATCGTTTGACGAAGATCCAACGTCAGCAACAGAGCAATCAAAGAGGTCCAATTGCACAGAAGAACCTACTGGTGAACTGTTTTCGTCTGAAAACATCCCAGTGCGGTAAAACATTTTTGATTTCACTAATAAACATCTTGAAAGCTATACCCACAATTCAAAAGTGAATGATCATCCCAAGCAACTGAAAAGGGCTCGTCAAAGAGGGATATATCTGAAATGTCCGATTACGACTCTTTTGAGGTTAAATAACAATTTGACTGACGAGTCTGACACTTTATACGCTTATTCATTTCACATTCCATCGAATTTTTTTACTCACTTAACAAGCATGAGAGTTAGTGAGTGAAAACGTTTGTTTATTAAACATTTTGCTCATAACTGCATAAAGAAAGCAACTGAACACTTGGATGGACTCTTCCTACAATTGGTGCAGGCTCAGTTTCCAAATGTCAGAAATTTTGATGGTTAGGATAATTTTCTCTTTCTTTGGGTTCTGAGCTAGCTGCACAACGCATTTCTTTGGATCACACAGGGGTTTGTCATCATTCAACTAAATTTTGTCCAAAAAAGTTGCAGGTCAAGGTATCCTTACCACAGATCGCAATTTGACACCAAGAAACCACTCATCACTAGACAGAAATCTTCACTAAGAGGTATTGTGAACACGTATCCATGCTTCCAGCATAATCCACTACATACTACTTACAGGTAAAACAAATAAGTGAACTTTCTGTTTGAATAGTAAAATCTACTCGAATTATAGAGAATGAGGAAACCTTGAGGAGCGATAGGTTTATGTCGATTTCGAATAGAATCCATGTACTGCAGTACAGCAGAATTCACACGAGAGGTTGGTTTCGTAGTGCCATCCTCCACATCGTTAGCTTTTAATTTGGTCTTTTTATTTGAAAAGTTTGAAGTGTTACTGCTGAAATACTGCATAAATGTTTAAAGAGTTTTTATGTTCTTTAACAACGTTGTCGCAGATCTCACCCAGCCTCATTGATTGTCCAGTATGAACCCTTTCCTTTCTCGCCATTCTGTCTGGGTATCCTTTTGAATAGTTGATTGCATGATAAATTGTGGCGAATAGAATTCTGGAACAACATCTTACCTTTTATGAAATAACGATTTTCACTAGGCATCGTTTTTAAATATATCAGTACATCACCACAATAGTTTTACTTCCTTGTTCTCATCTGCTTTTAGTCACATAGAGGCAGAGGATATGTTCCACTTTATAAATTACACTAAAAAGTTTAAAAAGTCCAGAGATATGTCATTTTGCATATTCCTTTTTGAAAAATAATTGGTACGAAGTGATTTACTGTCCCCTACTCGACCAGAACCTTCTACCACCAAATTTGAAGCCATAAAGCAATTGTGTTTAATCGAGCGGATGAAATTACTTATATAAAAGGTAAATTGCTTGAAACCAGAGTTTGGAATAGCTCAAAGTTCACGCAAACTAAGCTCTGCGCTTTCCTCCATCTTCAACGGGCTCCATCATCACGATGAAGTCACAGAAGCAAAAATAAGTGGATTAGATAACTTTCCACTTAACATTCTACTACGGTCCATCATTTAAAAAAGTGATGCACTGACGATTCCAGCAAAAAGAAAAAAATGTCGTGTTATCCTCTCATAACAATAAATATCCGATTGAAAACCGCTGACACGAAGACCGTCGTGCACCATTTATAGGCTTCTGCTTAGGACTACCAGGCACGAATGAAGTGAAGCCATATAGGTTTGTAGATCTATATCTCCGTGCCACTTTCAACTTATGAATGAGAATGCATAGACAACAAAATAGGATTCATTAAGTGCAAAAATAAAATGGAATTAGATAGCAGTAGAAAACAAGAAGGATCCAAAAATAACAGCGACAACATTTCATTATATGTATTTCCGATAAAGCGACGACTTTTTAAGAGTCAAATAGGAGGCCTGAATAAATTGAAGACAGGACCGTACACAGGAAATTCTAAGCTGTACACTTCATAGGATACAGCAATAGCAAACGTTATATAACGGGGACGACTTCGAAGTATGTGTCACGATCCTCGCACGCGAATCAAGAACACAGGCGCGAAAAACTCTCGAGGCACTCTGGATTAATTCCAGAAATCCGAAAATGAACCGCAGGGAAGAATGCCTCATTATCACGCGTGATATAGGGCAGTATATAAAACTGCTTTTCTAATGTGAGGGGCACATTATACTTCCACGTGATTTCTGTGCGGTTGGTCTCTACGTGACATACTTAGTGGAAACCTCATAGGAAGCGGTGAGTGTGCAAAGCTGTGTTCAAAGTGATTGAAATCTTGGTTTGGGGTTTCTTTGTTTGGTTATGGAGGCGTCTGGCCGAGTAGATTGCTATCAACTTGACCTTTCCAGGCTCTGAGGAAGGCGAAATCCGCCGAAACGTCAGATTAGTCGTGAACAAAGAATAATAACACCTCGCGTTTGCTCAACAAAAATACGAAGAAAATCACTTGATCAATGCCGAGGTTAATAGAAAGTCGGTCGTGGCAAACGTTATATAGTTCAGCCGATTCTTATCAACCAATGATGTCGTCTACCATCCATTCTGTATACGGAATAAAGTGGATTTCCGACCATTCAGTCGTGAAGGTAAGTGCTTTGACCCAAAGTGGGAGACAAGAGGTTAAACCAGGATCAAAAGCGACCTTATTCTTCCCTGAAATGCAGATGGATCAAGTGGATGCTATCCTTTTTTACTGCGACAATTTAACATTTGCTATCTTTACTCACGTAGATATATGAGGCATGCCGCATGGTTGTGCTCACGTGGACCCACAAGTCGGCCAGTCCCTATCGTATTTCGGTACTTACCAGACTAACATGACGGCACCCCAACGCTCAAAGGGAACAGTTACAGCTTCCACAAAGACAATGGAGAAAACCAATTTGATGATCGAATTTAACACAAAGTTGATGGCCTTGGCCTTCAAGAGCAGCGGCAATGCAGCAAAGAAGGGAAAAAGTATCTGACGCTGTGCCTACCTTTTTGCCTTAGCGCACGTGTCGAAACATGTACACTGTACAAGCAGGGCGAAGAATCCTTCGGCGACAACGTAAACGTAATCGGGAGGACGAAATTGGGAGCACCCCTCTTTACGCAAATTAGAGACGAAATCCAAAGTGCCAATCTATACCAACTATCAGAGAGCAGAGACGTTTTCATAAACGCGAAAAGGTAGAAAATCAGCCGGGCCGATCGCATGATGTATCAGAACAAACATCGATGGAAAAGAATCGTCAGCGACTATAACTCATAGGAGCTCAAGCGCACATCAGGAAGTGCACTAACCTCATGCTCAAAATTCTACACAGAGATACTGGAAAAAGAATAATGTTCAGCGGTTCCTAAAAGCAAATAAAAGCCATTGCGCTACTCTTGCACGCAGCAGTGACTAGTGAAAAATTCAGTGATGCCTGAGTTACTCTACGGTCAGCAAGAGGACAGGTGATACAGAATTATTCCATAATAGACAAACCAAACAAACCTTCCATGGCCCCTTTGAACTTCTGTAGTAAGCATAGCGTCTCGACGCATACTCATAGATCTCGGATAGAGTAATTTTCTTCACCTTACGTTCAGCCATAGCATCAATTATCAGCTGGGCATAGCTCAACGGAGGTTTCATATTTGTGGCATGGTAATCGATTTTCTCGGACTGGAGTAACAAACACTTAAAAGTCGTAAGACATGATGAAAAATGATTAAATATTCATCAAAACAACTCACTTGGTCGGCCATGTGTTGTATCTGCTGACATGATCGGCGTTGCTGTTTTCTTGAGAAGCCAATGGACCTCTATAAGAAAAACTTTCAAGACACTATTTCGTAAATATGTTTCGCTACCTGAATACCAAATTGTGAAAGAACGTATCACATAATAAAACTGATCCTGAACAACAACAGATAGATATAAAATCTGTTCAGAAAAGCATTGAAGATAACTGGAACACAAGAAAATATTGCAATTTTTTTTAAACCCTAACCTTTTTTGGAGCCAGTAACGTTGGAGAACCAGGTGAAGCTGCTATGCTAAGAAACCAGTTCAGATCTGGAAGTCTATCCGAATAAAGAGCCACCATGGCGTCTAGAAAATGAACAGCTTTGGATTGTCCACAGCGGAAGATGGAAGCAGAAAGAATTTCAAAAACAGCCAGTTTGAATATAAATAAAGAATTGAACGCTAGAATGATTGACAGATAGGTCGCATTTTTCTGATTGGGCAAGTTCTTTTTTCTGGAGGCTCAAAAAAGACGGAAAACAATGGTCACAGGTCATGAGAACAGGTAGAAGGAACAAAAGAAAGCACAAAGAAGAAGCGGTTCTAACAGATCAAAGGATAGATTTCTTCTTTGCTGTTAGGCTTCATCCACGGCTGTACTAATTGTCTTAGCAGGTTTACTTTTCATATATGGTGACTTTGTTGAGGAAACTAATACTGTGCTGAAGATTGAACTTCGAAGCCATATGTTCTTCACCACGGTAAGCCGGTAAATCAATAAGGAGGTAAGCGACATCATTTATTGATCACATTAGAAATGATCTTCAAATTCATATTATTCAGGTCAGATTCCAGACTAATTACTTCACATAATAAGTATTTGCACTACGGTCACGAACAATCGTACGCAAAGAATTTTAGGATCTATGGAATCAGAATCGTTTCTACCGTAACACGAAAGACCGACTTTCTATAAACCTCGGCATAGATAGTTGATATATTTATTTATGTGACCTTATAAACTGATCTTCTTAAGCTGAAGCGAGGTTGGTACAGATCTTCGTTGTCGTTGTCGTTGTTTTTGATGTTATTGATCGATGGCTGACGTTTCGGCGACTTCGCCATCCTCAGAGCTGTAATGTTACGTGCGGAACAACGACAACGACAACGAAGATCTGTACTAACCTCTCGTCAGCTTAAGCAGATCAGTTTATAAGATCACATAAATAAATATATCTACCGTAACACTTTTTCTATGCCGATATGTGCTTAATTCATTACAGTGCAATTATTCACAGAAAATATGGAAATTGACTCGCTCGACCTGATTTTGAGGGTGATATGCACCTCCAAACGCCTTATTAAATCTCATGCAAAACTGACCAAACAAAGTATGGACACCATTCTCACTACTGCACGGACCGCTATTTTCAACAATTTCATCGAACTTACAAGATAAAAGAATTACCCACACTGGGTTATTTTCCGTATCATTTTAGATGAGAAGAAAAAGCTTGCCTTTCAGTTTGCCAAATGAATTATAACTACAAACGAAAAAATTTGATCCCCTACGTAAATAGACATCGAGGATTTCGTCAATTACAAGCAGACTAAAGCCATCAATTCAGAGATTAACTGTCGATAACTAGGTTACTTGCATGGGAGTTTGAAAAAAGACCCGCTCTGGTGAATCGAACAGGAATAACTTTATAGCAGGATAACATAGCGCTTTAAGTGTGAAAACCTCCTTCAACGAGACTTTTAATCATGACATCGCGTCAATAGATACCTTCTCTATTAATTCGTCTATCACTATATATCCAGTAAAAAAACTACGAAGCTTCAGTTAGATTTTAATCAGCACGGCCGATTTCTTCGCATATAGACCCGCAGGTTTCGAGCGATTTCAAGGATAGAGGAATGTGATGTACAACTGCAAGAAATTTGTTAGATAAAAGTTTCACAAGTCAGTAAGGATTTATATTGGTGTTAAATACACCCTTTATAAAACTTTCCCTTCGAGTTTCCTGTAGTGTGAATAACTAATATATTTAATTTGTTGTTAGACTTTTCTAGATATAGACTCGAATTGGTCCATTCCAAATGGTTTGATGGATCAAGTCGTTCGATGATAGTCCCTTTCTTATTTAGTTCGAATAAACATTACTACCATTCCTAACCCTTTTATTTACTGCCTTTTTCTATTTAATGGCAGGGTATGTTGCGAAATATAACTCGTATATACTGCTGAGATATTTGCAAAACTCCGGACCGCAGGTGTATGCGGTGGGGAACGAACTCGGGCTGTTGTCCTTACCGGGGAGCAGCGCACTTCACCACCACACCATCCGGGTCCTTTGTTTTGCCTGTCTCTCAGCTAGTTCAATGCCGATTTGGGCTACCCGGATCAATCCCGTTGACGGGTGATTGTTGATGGCAAAAAGATCAATAGGAATAGCTGAGAGACAGGCAAAACGAAGGACCCGGATGGTGTGGTGGTGAAGTGCGCTGGTCCCTGGTAAGGACAACAGCGCGGGTTCGTTCCCCATAGCATACACCTGCGTTCCGGGGTTTTGCAAATATCTCAGCACTATATACGAATTACTATCATTGTTACCTGGTTGGAATTACAGACTTTTGTTCTGTTCTGTTTTGTTCTCACTGTACAAAGAATAATTCACTGAATGGATGCACATGAGCGAAAACATTGAAAAGGTTGAAAAAGTGGAAAGCAATAAAAGGGCAAATTCCTAAAATCAAGGATTTAAAAAGGAAGGATGGGAAAAATATTGAAAGAATATGGTAGACTAAACCATCTATAGAGGTGCTGCTGATTGCGTGAAAGTGCATCCTAAATCAGTTGATTCACATCAGTTGACACAACTATATTTTATAGGTGCTTTCTGAAAATAACAAGAACAGATGAAATCGCTCTGGGATAAATATGCCGTAATGGTACATGAGATGATACGCTAAGACGTGTGAACACATAAGGGCAGGTGCACATATATCGGGTGCCCCGTAGGCTACGTGACTCCTCGACTGTCTCCCCCTCTCTCTCTATAAGGAGCTCGTTAACGTGCACCTGTCAGTGAGTCTCTTCGAAAGCCAGTCGGTGAGCGAGAAGACCAAAGTGGACGTCACACAGCAGGCCGTCAATAGCTCGACCAACCCACACATACACACGCGAAGCCCTTCGTCTGGTCATTAGGGTCAGCAGCGATGAAATTACGTATTACGGGTACGTTGTCAAGCCGATAATATTCTGATCGCGCACCTCAAATGACTATCCAATACGAATTGGACATGTGCTGTTAAATGCACTGATTGCTAGCTACGTGAACGAGAAATAACTGCTCCGTATTATATATGTATATATATATATATATTACATGCATACATACATAAACAAATATATATATAAATGTATAAAACTACACATAGACAGATAAATATGGTGTATTTGATTTGCGCTAAAATTAATTATAGGCAGTTCTGGCCCAACAGCCGTATTACCCACAGCTTATCTATACTTTTGAATGTACACAACTGAAATCAATTTTGCTTAATTACCCGTTGATTATTTCGAAAAACCGACTTTCAATAAACCTCAGTACTAATAGCTACATTATATTTAACGAGTTATCCTTGTTGAGCTAGTAAAATTTAGGAGTAAAATATAATAAAATATGTCTATGCCCTGAGGAAAGCGAAATCGGCGAAATATCAACCATTCTAATTTAATATTAATGATATTAATGCTTACGTCTAAAACAATACCATCAGCGACTTCTAAAACTGTTGGAAATATAGCTTCATAGATCATTTTGTACTACTGCGTCTCACAATAAGCTGATAATGTAGCATTCACATAACTTAAATAAGTAACCAGTAAGTGCTTGGTATACGAGTCAGCTACACTGATTGTGTGCTTTTCCGGCTACTGAGTGCTTCAGAAATAGTCAGCAATTGGCATTCCTATAAGTTAACTGATATACTAAGTTAAACATAGTAGCGTTCGCTCTGCTGGAAAGATCTTAGGTCGTGGTGGAGACGGCACTAAAAATGTAGGCTTAGAAAAAGATGACTGCAGAAATGTTATAAGGAGATAGTAGGATTTAAAAAATGTTCTGTTAGGAAATAACGTAGTCACGGTGGATGCAGAGAGGTCACTTAAAAACACGACCAGTCAGAAAAAATCGAGGAATCGTCTGTTGATCAAGCTGATTGAAGATACCTGACCACAGACAGATTCCAGTCCGTAATTTTAAAAAGTAAGCAAATCAGTCACAAGAAAACAGACTAGTCAAACTCTTCATTTCTAATCCAAAGTAGTCGGATAAAAACGAATAGGATAGCTTGTAAAACGACACGGCAAAAAACGACTAGTGTTAAACACTATCAGCTGAAACAGTGCTCATAGGGTTTAAAAAATGTAACCAAGGAAAGTAATGAACGGATTGAATAGGGCTACATTTAAATAAGTAGGTAATAATCTGCTTATAATTGCCTTCGAAAATTTCCAGGCAAACTGTTACGTTTCCTTCTATAACTTTTTCTCCCATTGCTTCATAAAAATTGTTTGAAACAAATAACTTTTCGCTTCACTCTAACGATTAATTAGATCACTTCTAATTTGATACTGTACCTAAAGTATATATATACATATATATATATATATATATATATGTATATTTCCTAACACCCGATCTGGACACTATGAATAAAAGGTGGCCGTGGCCTGCCGTTATGTCGAGCTAGTGCTGCTATCCTCCCAAACAAGTCTGGTAGCAATTTGCCGACCTCAGAAGAATGGAAGGTTTGGTAGGCCATGGGCACAGGGATCGATTCCACGTGTGTGTTGCAGAGCGCTTCCGACCACTGCACCACACGCCCCCTTTGGACACTATAGTACTCACAAATGTTTGGAAGTGCGCTCAGAATTTCTTTACTGCATCATGTATATTCATTTGATAGCTAACCGAAAGCAGATCAAAAGAGTAGGAGTGAGACCTCAGAAACTATTTTCTATACACTTAATAAGTAACAAAAAAGCTTTGTTCAAAAGAGGTGATTGGCTCTGAGTTCAGTTTGACTAACAATTAGTGTTATTTTATTGTAATCAGTATGGCCATTGTATTGAATGTACGGATATGAAAAACACCGAAAACGATTCAACACGGAGAGCAAAGTAGTTCCACTGCTGACAGTAATGTTCCTGTATATGGATTATAGTAGCACACAGTATATAGTAGCATACACATCATTCATACATATAAAACGATAGAACAAAGTCTCTTCTACAATCCCGTCATGTTTACAAACCCTAGAGCACTCTAGTTTTCCAAAAGAAATGTTTTT